CAGTGTGCCATGGAAGAGAGGGAGACCAAGATACCTAGCAAGAAGGTCGCCTAGTCCTAACTAACGTACATGAAGCCCTTGTGCTCTCAAATTCCCTTGCTCTTATTGCTATTTAATTTCTGACCCCACAGAAGTTATCAACGATCTATTTAATGACAATAGCCACTGGGACTGATACCTCGCAAAAGATAAGGGCATCATCTGCATAAAGGAGGTGACTGACCCCATAGTTACATCCTGAAGGAAAAGCAGGGGGGAGGTGTGCATGATAGAAAAGGAGGGTGTGGTGGCATACAGTCTATATCTAATATAAATGTCCATGAGCCCCTGTCATATGCCCTGCTAAGGTCCAGCTGGAGGTATATCTTTGGTCTGGCTGAGTTTTTATGGCACAAGGAAATAAGCTTGTTTGCTATGAGGACGTTATCGGCGATCAACATTCTTCTAATGAATACGGCCTGACATGGGTGAATAAAGTCGTCAAGAACCCTCCTTAGCTTATTTGCCACAATCTTGCTTATAATTTTATAAAAGACATTGCATAGGCCAATAGGTCTCAAATGCTTCATAGTTGTAGGGCAGGTGACCTTGGGGATCAAACAGATGAAAGTCGAGTTTACCTCCTTGAGGAACTTTCCTTTACCAACAAAGTATTTAAGTTCACTCAAGAGATCAGCCTCGATAACGTCCCAACTAAACTTGCAAAATTCCACCCCAAAACCATCTGGTCTTAGAGTGCTCTCCGATTTCATGTCCCAATACACTCTCTAATGTCCTCTAAGGAGAAGTCCTTTGTTAAGGCCTCACATTGCAGTTATGTGAATTGCATTTGCATTTTGGTTTCCAAAAGAAAACATAATCTAACATCATAGTTTAAAATAATATTTCGGATATATGATGCTCAACCAACTTTATTAATCCCTCTAATGTTCCAAGATATAATGGACACGATAAAATTACTGACGGGCAAAGGACATACCTTGGGATAATCACCCCCCTCCCTTTGCGCAATATTGGATTTTTTCTTTGCGAGTTTTTGTGCCTTCAATGTCACTATCTTTAGTTTGTGCTTGGGCCTAAGCGAATACTTTGCACCTATAGTGTTTGTTCTAGCATGGTTCTCCATGGGTGAGCCGTCCTCATTGATGTGACCCTGTATCAGTTTCTGTTGTTCCCTATTTTCACTGAATTTGAACGCATCCTTTGGTGAGTCATTCACACAATCAGCCTCATGCAAACCATTGTCATTCGCTTTTCTGCCACCGTCATCCATTTCCTTTCGAAATTTCGATCCGGTGACATGAATTGCACTATATAGCTTTATCAACATGTAAATTGTGGCTACTCTTCACACCTGAAATGTCCTTCCCTTGAACATCAATAAAAGAAAAGACTATAATAGGATCTTAAGTACTTGAAGCCATTCAAGCTATATTTTTCATTAACAAAAGAAAAGACACAACCTATGCTTGTGAGTAAAAGATATAATAAATAAATATGGAAGAAACAAAAAGAGGGTGCCGGAGATTACCTCAATCGGACTTTTTACACCCCACATCAAATTACCATCTTCTGATGGCACGAGATCTAATAGTCAACCTTTAATCTCAACCGTGAAAGCAAGTTTGGACACGCCACACTAATGGAACGTGAACCCCTTTGATCATAAACTCAAACCTTATGTGAATTCCCTTAGTAACCCAGTTTGAGAGAGATTGATTCTCTTTTTGCTACAACCCTAAAACCCTTAACCATAAATCCATAGTTGAGAGAATGAGATAGAAAAGAACTCTATAGCCTAAACTCTTAGCCCATTTTCACAATGTGGGAGAGTGAGAGACCTAAGAGGTGGAGAGAGTGGAGCTTGCCCCTTTAGGCTTTCTTGAGAGAGAGAGAGAGAGAGAGTTCCAAGACGAGAGAGAGAGAGAGACTTTTTAGAGTGGGGCGTGCTCCCTAGATGGATGAGAGAGAGAAATATAAAGTTTGGTGTATTAAGAATTATAGGCAAAGGGTCCTCCTTTTATAGTGCAAAAATAAGATTTAGAGTTTCTTTAGGATTTATATGGCTTACATTTTCTTGTGGATTGAATATGAACCATTAATCATGGGTGACTTGTGGGGTGAGAGATATGAGCCTTCAATTCCATAGATGAATCATCAATATGCTATGAAAGGTACTAGAACCTTTATCCCCTTCTTTCCTTTGACCATTATCCCATCAACATAAATAAAATAAAATAATATTAATCATAATGTTGTGCTTTATCAAAAAATATGCACAAGCCTTATTATGTTTTCTAAACAATTCATTCAAATCTTTCTCAAGATAAATTACCTTTCCAAATCTCATAATAACTTGGCCTCCAAGCCAAAGTTCTTACTTTTATCAACTTTAACCCCTATAAACTAAGAAATACTCCTAAAAGTGGGGCGTGCCACCCAAAAGGTGGTTTACAAGAATCCCACCAACTTAGGACATAGTGCGCCCATGTGCACAATAGGCCTCGAATGCTTTTTAAATATTTTTTTAAAAATAATTAAATATTTTAGAATTAATTTGAATATTTAAAACAGTAAAAAATCAATATCTCTGTTTTTATAAATCCAAAATTTATAAATAAAATATCCAGAGATCTAGAAAATTCAAATAATCATTCTAAAAATCATATTATAATAAAATAAACACAATTAAATTCATTAGATGAGATAAAGATCCATATGGTCTAGGAATAAACATTTGGGGCACTCTACCTTCAACTATGGACTGCGGTCCATACTTGTTTTATCAACCGATCTATTGTTTCTCATGACCCACAATCTATGCAAGGGCTCATTAGTGGGACACCAAAGCCTGGCCAATGAGCCAAGGGGTCGTAATCTGAGTTTTATGGATTTCAAGTTCTCCTCTAGATACGTGTCAAGGTTACTTAAACTTGATGCGACCATAGCTCATATGATGTATAGGGGTATATCTCACAGATGCATAAGCTTCATTTTAAAAGGTGGTTCACTTTTCAGAAAATGGCTATAATTATGCATGCCATGTGCTAGTACATAAATAAGGTTTTTCCGTCTCTAAAAGGCCACCATTACACACAAAAGTCACATAGTCTCCTGGCTTACTCATCCGAGCATACCCCGACCTCATCAATGGATGACCTATGAGAACCCTTATCAGATAGTTTTCTATGTTAAGATAACATAGATTTTTCCCTACTAGACTAACTTAGCATGTCAAACATAGTTTAGTATCATCAATCATCGTTTATTTAATATAGTCCACAAGGGACCACACTCCCATTGAGTTCATGTTCGACTATATCATTTTATTTTACAAACACTCATAACACCTTTAATGGCCATACTCACCCAACAAATAAATCTCTAGGTCATAATAATGACAAGCAAACTATTACCACTTCAATCAAATTCATCATGAAAAAAAATATTTCAAATCAAACTTGTCATAAAATTATGCTACAAAGAAAAGAAAATATTTTCTTCCCCAAAAAGAAGGACAATTTTACAACACTCTAGGACCAATCCCCTAAACCAAGATGGCCAATTCCTCGTATCATCAAGATGCGTGCCAAACAAACAAAGTGGTAATTCAGTTAACATAATTGAGCTAAGAATAAAAATGATTTAAAAATTGCATCTATAACAAATTCAGGGACCATGTCTATTGTAGCAAAGAAGAAGTATAACAAAACCCCTATTGTTGGATCCCAACCGATTTAACAAAATCAAGAAACAATAGTAGTAGTAACACTGTAACAAAAAACGCCACCGAGAAAGTGACCCAAATGGGAAAAAGACAGGAATGACTCTTAAATAATCACTCTTAAATGTATATTTGATTTTTCCCTACTCAGATATTTACTCTCTCTCTTTTAAGCATATTTTCCTCCGAATAATTGTTTATTCTACTTATACCAAAATAACATAGATCATAATTGTAAAACGTATTATGTAGGGAAGGAGATGAACACGCTAAAAATACTTGATAGGCAACGTCATTGGATTATAAACTGCAAAGAGTTAGGGCTTTTCTAAAACGATTGAGACTGGTTTTTTTTTCGTTTTATTTTTCTATGGTCATGAAACTCTAATATACAAAGGGATGGGAGGAGGTAGTTCTCTAACATTTCGCTTTCTTTCCGAGAATCTTTGAGAAGTGGTTCTCACTATCCAAAAGATTGAAGAGTTATCTACTATCTGTTGAAAAAAAAAGTTATCTAAAAAACATTATAATGATAGATAATAATTAAGATATAATATTTTTAGAAAAATATTAATTAGATGAAAATATTAACGAGATTAAAATAATATTATAATTAATTTATAATTTTTTTTTGCCCGATTTTGAGGAGCACCTCACTTCTATAATATGAAGTTAATATCTTATATAAACTTATTCCAAATAAGATATAACAAACACTTTGTGCCTTGAAAACCTTATCTCAATATATTGATTGTGATCATCAAAGTTTTTCTTGAGTCACATCTAAGTGTTCAAAATAGTGAATAATTTTAAAAAACTAAATATACAAAATAAAAAATTCATTTATTCCTTACATTTCTTATATGATTTTATAAAAAAAAGTACATAAAGAGACCATTTACTTTTAATACAAAGAGATCACAATCACTTTTGTTTATCAAATTTTAAATCGGATGGTGGTAAGTATATCATGGACTAAATTGTAAGTTTAAAAATTTCTCGAATTTTATGATATACCCCAAGCCATCGAATTTAAAGTGTAAAAGTTAGTACTAATTATGGCCTCTTTGTACAAAAAATAAATGGTCCCTTATAAGATTTTATTTTGTCAAGCATGTAACAATTTCAAAAGGAGAAAATCGTAAGTTTTTTTCCAAAATGTTTTTGTGATACCGCATGTGCAGTCTGTACGTACTCATTATCCTTTGTCTTCTGTGTACGTACTCAGGATCCTTTGCCTTCAGTTTACGATGAGTGACGAAACACCGCAACTTGTTATGTATGTGGAACGAGCCCTAAAAACTTGAGAACTTTTGTATTAATCCGGCCGCCCCTCACCCCTAAACCCTAAAAGCCAGAACGAGGGTGATAGAGAGGGTACGAGCTGCCCCTTTGACAGCCGTGGCGCACGAATATGTAAAGTAGCGATTCTCTGCTCCATCTCTCTCTGAAACCTTCTGAGTTTGCTTCACATTTCAGTGTTAATGGCGCTTTATTTGCTCTATGAGTCGGCTTCTGGTTATTCTCTTTTCTGTGCTCATGGCTTGGACGAGATTGGCCAGGACACTGAAGGGGTTCGCAACTCAGTTTTGGACCTCAATCGCTTCGGAAAAGTGGTGAAGCTCACTGCGTTTCAGCCATTCGCCTCTGCCGTTGATGCTCTAAATCAGTGCAATGCGGTCTCGGAAGGTACCGGCAATGGCCTCTACTGTTTATTTAGACTTAGTCGGTTCGTGTTTTTGGGGGTCTAGGTTATGGAGTTCTGCGGTTTTTGTGAAAGTTTCGGTTGGTTGGCTTTCAGAGGGATTATCGGGTTTAGATTTTTTTCTCTGTTGTCTTTCTATGGTTTCAGTACTTGTAGAGTCTGTTTTCTGCTTCCATGGCGTTTTTCAAGGTCAAGCGTTTGATGATCAGTTTTGGTTTTCATGTTCATTTTTTCTCAACTGATGGGTTTTCAGCATTCAGGATGTGAAGTTTTTGTATTCTCAGCTTTTGATGTGTTTATATGTTTTAATCTTTGGAATTTGATGACCTAGTCTTTTGAATTTAGGGCTTTCTTGAGGTTTTTTTAATTTTTTCTTTACTAGTTTCAGAGTCTTCGTGCACTTTGTTCAGAATATTTAGTTTGAATACTTTAGCCTTCTGGAGGTTTTAGAGTTAAAATGCAATGCCTGTGTCTTTGTATCTTCGGGGTTTCTATATTCTGCACTTTGGGCTCGTTTATTTAGGGTTCTGAGTTTCATAAGCTTCCATTTCGTTGTGGTTATTCACTTGAGCTTAGGAAGATTTGCTTTTTCTTTCTGGGGCTGGTAAATGTATTACTTACCGGTTACTTTTGCATTTTGTCTTGCAGGGGAGTTGACAGATGAACTAAGGAACTTCTTGGAGCTGAATCTTCCGAAAGTCAAGGATGGAAAGAAACCCAAGTTCAGTTTGGGTGTTTCAGATACAAAGATTGGGTCTCATATTTCCGAGGTCACCGGTGTTCCGTGCCATTCAAGCAAATTTGATTTGGAGCTCATTCGTGGAATTAGGATGCATTTTGACAGGTTTATTAAGGAACTGAAGGTTTGTGTACTTGCCTCAGTCCTTGTCTGTATTGTCCTCTTTGGCATCTTGCAATGCCTGATATAAATAGATGATGTTTTTTGTTTTTTTAGCAATCGGACTTGGAGAAAGCTCAACTAGGCCTTGGACATAGTTACAGTCGTGCAAAGGTCAAGTTCAATGTCAATCGAGTTGATAATATGGTCATCCAGGCCATCTTCCTTCTTGACACCCTGGACAAAGATATTAACACCTTTTCTATGAGGGTCAGGTATGCCAGAATTCATTCCTTGATTGTGCCAATTGTATTTGGTTATTGAAAAAACCAAATTCCTTTACTGGAAGAAGGATTTTTTTGAGAGAAACTTTACTGGAAGAAGGTTCATCTCTGTAAAGCAGACCGCCTAGGGCGGCCGCTGAGGCGGTCCCTGGGCGCATCGCCCAGGCCTAGGCGGTCAAATTAGGCGGATATCCCCGAGCGCCTGCCTAGGCACCTATGGAACCCGCCTAGTCGCCTGCTCAATGACTGCGCCTAGGGATGGAATAATGGTTCGTTGAGGGTAATTTTTGGATCATTTGGAAAAATTGTGGGTTTTAGACCACCTAGGTGCTGCCTAGCTCTTTTTGAAACACTGGTAAAATTATAATCTTATTATCTCTTTTGGGTGGACGTGTTACTCACTCTTGTAAAGAGTGATTTTTCCATCCTTTTTGTAGCCAGTGATATAGGCCTTACATGTATATTGTCAAGTGCCTTGTGTGGTCCTTTTGTCGTGTGTTTTGGGTTTCTTCAGTATCCCCTTTTTGAGGCATCATCTGTTTCAAACTGATCCAATGTTTGCGCTTTATTTTCCATGGCGAGCAAGGGGTGTATGTCAAATCATCCAGTTTATGGTATTTGCCACATCAACTCTTCCAAATCTATAATGATGTAATTTAATTGATTAATTCATAGGACCTACTCTGAAGTAGAAAAGGTTATACTGAATTGGTGATACCCTGATGATACCTTTATGTTTCCTAAGGATGAGTGCAAGTCTTTCACTATTCTTCCTTTTGATAATTGCTAAGAATTTTATGCCAATTTATACTTGCAGAATATGGGTTGAAATTGTAGTTATTGGATATGTATTATGCACTGCTGTAACATTAGTGTAAAAGTCGATACCAATATATGTGTATGACTTATGATCACTGTAAAAAAAGGCATAGGCAGCTAACACACCTTGGCCAGAGGGGTTGGCAAGCTAGGCACCTACCTCGTTGCCAAGGCAGGTGCCTCAAGACTGAGGCTCCCTTATGTTTTTGTTTGTATATATCTGTATATAAGCAAATATGTTTTTTAACTAAGACTTATAGAACATATTCATATACATCGAATGACTGAAAGAAAATTAAAAAATTCACAGCTTGAAAATAATGTCAATTGACATTTCATACAGCACTTGTAACCTTTATTGATTTCCCAAGCTAGATTGAATTAAAAATCTCCAATTGAATGTGATTTTTTAAATACACGTTTGTTTTCCAAATATTAAGATTTTTTTTTTGGGATAAGATGGAGGGATTAGAGGAGTCCACTAGGGTATTTTCTGCCCTCGTAAAGGATATGACAAAGGTGGCACCTCAGTTGAGGCACTGGTTTCCGCCTCAGTCACGTAAGCATCCGGCCGCCTGCTTAGGCGGCTGCCTTGCCCTAGACAAGTTGTCTAGGATGTCAATCTGCGTCAGGGTGCTGCATAGGCTCCCGTGATGGGTGCTTTTGGATAACTTCGTATTATTGTATGGAGTAGCAATAATGTAGCTGTTTTAATCAGCATTTGGAGCCAGGTATGCCTCACCATGTCAAATTTCTGTAGCCCATAAAATAATTGTTGGTTCTTTGTTAGTCATTTAATGCAATTGTTTGTATAAATTAATATTTATAAAGATGCATAAACTCTAACAAAATTGTATAAAATGTAAGATCTCTTGAAATTTGAAATTTTTATTTTTCGCTTTGGTTATCTGAAATGAGATTGTATTGACGTATTTGTTTTAGATTCATTGTAATTAAGCTATTTTATGGCCTTCCAAGTTCAAAAATTATTTTTGTACGGTTATCTTCTGCAAAAGAAGTTATTCCTTGCATTTTCTCAATGAGTGTAATTGTTTTCTGACCCCAACCTTGGATGACCACATGAGTTTCGGTCATCTTCTGGCTGATGGTTCACTTAAAGCATATTCTAGGTTGCATGAAAACCTGATATTTTCAATGCTCATCCAACTCAGAAAATGACAGAATTTTATGAGTAAATGCACACCTAAGTGGGAATAAAGTTACACCCACTAAAAATGTAAATGGCTCATCGCCCAATCTGACGCTGAGCCATGTTTCATTGCCACATCTAGACAAACCCTAATCTTTTTTATTGCAAATTTTAATGTTGCATGTAAGCAATTAATTATTGTAAGTTTTCTCATTTAAATGAGTTTAATCTTCTTGTGCATTATGTATCTTTCTCACATGTTAGGTGATATTTTGTGTCACTTTGTTTTTTCTTTTAAGTTGTTGGGAGACTTAGGAAAATAAAGGAGAAAGGTACCCTTGTGAGTTGCTATATTTAGAAGATACTGAAAGATTGCAGGACAAAGAGCACAACTACAGCTGGTTTTTCAAAATAAAGACATGCCCTTCATGAGCGTAGTTTTTTCTTGCGTCTCGTAATTGTCAGAAGAAGGCAAAGAAACTGTGGTCTCTTTGATACTTTATTTGTCTTACCGATATATTGTTACAGATATAATCAATCTGTTATGATTGAGGGAATAACATGTTCCCTTGAGTTATTGAGCATTACCCTAAGATGGCATTTCTCCGAATGTATCTGAATCTAAACTCTTGTGTAAGTCGTTTTTCTTCTTTTATATCCATAAATTGATCACTCTATGCAGATTCATTCTATATGATAAAACATATTAATCACTTAGACAAGGGAACCTATGGGTCTAGACAGTGTTACAGGACTCGTCCGAGTCCAAATGGACTCGACTGAGTAACTCGGCCTCGCCCTATGGACGAGGCTGGGTTACCCGACTTGTGTGTACAATTTGGGGTACATAAAAAAGAAATTTCAAAAAATCCCTAAAAATTCTAAAAAAATAGGGGTTTTAAAACTGTTTTTATATACAATTTTGATGTTTTTGGCAAAGATTGGTGAGTTTTTAGGCATAATCCCTATTTTTGTATTTTCTTTTTATTGAGTTTTTTAAAATGTTCCCAGCTGTAAGTCATTTTTTTTTAAAATTCAATTTTTCTATACTTTTTAAGCTTATTTGTAGTCTTTTAAGGATGCTTTTGGTTTTATATAATTTCTAGTCACTTCATTTTATTTTCTCAATTTTGTTTTCAATGGATTTTGGGGTTTTGGCCCTGTACAGCACTCGACTTGCCTTGGCCAAGGTGAGTTCCCAATCATTGGGTCTAGATCTCTTTTAGGAGACTTATGGTGTAGTTGGTGTTCGTGGGTGGTGAATTCGTGATACACTGTCTTCAAGGAGAGATGCCAGCTGCTACCACTGGCAGAATTTGGGCACAAATCTTCTTTAATTATTAAAGCTGTACCTTGTTCTTGATTCCATTATTGGAAGGGAATAAGTCTTGGTCTATGTGCTTCTAAAAGGAAACATAATTGTCCTTATATCATCCTTGTTATGATATATCACAAAGTGGATATATCACAAAGTGGAACATGGCCTGTAACATTTTTAATCTTAACTTCTTAATACATTCTTCAAGTTTGATATATTTGTTAAATTTCATTTGCCTCTACCTGCTGCTACCCTAAGACAATCTATGAAACGTTCGTAACGTGTTCTCAATGTGAACATTGACTACGAGGCTCAGTAAACATGAAGGTTGTGATCAAATTTTCTGTTGGGAGAGAGAACAGGCTCCAGGCAGAGGTGATTAGGATGGTAAGGTCCAATGTTATCAGGACCGGGCTGGTGAGATCACCGGATTGGTCTTACTCTTTTGGTCTTACCCGTTGAAATGAATTGCTTCACCTGTCTGTCTGGTTGCATAAATGGAAAAAATAAAAACGAATTAATAATATATCAATGAAACATTGAATAACCCCTTAGTTTTATTGAAAAATATTGAATGAGTATGAAATGATTATTAAAATTAATAAACATTTGAACAAAAATGACCATTTGTGCACATGGCATAAACACAATATATCAATTTAGGACTGCAAATAAACCCAAAAATACAAAAAGATAACAAAATCCTAATTTTAAGACATTTTAATGGTTCAATATTTTTCATGAACAAAAAACATTTATAGAAAAGTCATTTTTACCAAAAAAAGAAAGAAAAAAAGTGCCCATTAAAATAAGAAATAAAAAATAATTAAGTACTTATATGCTCAATTTTGTTCTTTCAATATTTACTATAGTTCCTTAGATGTCAATTTTTGAAAATGCTCAAAGCTTAATTCCATTGATATTTTTTTATACAACCAACAATGAAATTCCGAAACCAGAAAAAAGTTAAAAAAAGGACTGATTTTTAATACACAAAACCATGCATTTAAGCAAACAACATAGCGAAAAACAACAAGAATGTACTAAGTCAACCAAAGCCAATCATTAATATGATTGGATGGTTCAATCTAAGACATTGTTTTGGAAAGAGAAACAGTTGAAAATTCATTTCTGAAATTTTTTCTATTTCTTTCAATTTTAAAATAATCAATGGAAGAAAAGGGGATAAAATACTTACTTGGAATTTATTTTAGTGAAGATCATCATGCTGGAAAATGACCTTATTGATTGCCGAGAGAGAGAGAGAGCTAAAAATTGGCCACAATTGCTGTCTCTAGAAACCATCTTTTAGAGAGAGCTAAAAAATTGCCACAGTTGTTGTGCTAAAAAATGGCTACAGTTGCTGTCTCTAGAAACCATCCTTTATGAAGAGCTAAAAAATTGCCACAGCTTCTGTCTTTAGAAACGACCTCTTAGAGAGCTCAAAAATTGCCATAGTTGCTCTTTCTAGAAACCATCTTTTTAACTCCCAAACACTTCCAAAACATTTAAATGGCCAAAATGCCCTATTGCACTTTTAGAAGGATAACAAAACCCCCCGTAAAATGATGCAGATCATTTTAGAGTTTTTTTTTTTCCTGGGGGGTGGGGGATTTTCCACCCCTCCTCGAGACCAGCTTGTCCACTAGTTCACCAGTTTGTGTCATTGATTTACCGGTCAAGTCATGCTTCACTAGATAGAGTGGTCTAGGGGAGTGGACCAAACCATTGGGAACCAGTTGAACTGGTCGGTCTTGGTTGTTTGTTAGGTTGACGCATTGCTCAAAAAAGCGGACCGCCCAGCACTTAGGCGGCAGTCCTTGGGCAGCCCTAGGCGGTACGGAACCCCGCTTAGGTGGGCGCCCAACGCTCAGCCCTGAAGGGCCTGAGCCCCGCCTAGGGGTGGAAATGGGTTTTAGGTTCATTTGCAACTTAAACCCACAAGAACTCATTTAAGAGAGAAAGAAACCTCAAAAAAGCTAAATTTTGTGATTTTCATTGGATCGAAGTGTTTCTCAAAGTTACAAAAAATGGATCCAAACATCACCCAGGTAGATTAGATTTAGTTTTGGAGGTTTTTAATACTATTAGAGGGTGTTTTTTATTATTTTAGCATCATAAAACATGGGAGGTTGGAGTTCGAGCAATCAAAGTAAGTGAAAAATTTTATTTTTGGAGATTGCTTGTTTTATTTTGAGATGTCTTCTTCATGATCTAGTCGAAGTGAAGATTCGGGCTGGAAATATGGATATAACCTGAATCCAAATGACAAAAATTACATTAGATGCAATTATTGTGAAAAAGATACAAAAGGGAACATAAACCGATTTAAGAAACATCTTGTCAGTATTAAGGGGGATATTGGCCCTTGTAAAAATGTTCTTGAAACTATCAGAGAAGAGATTAAGCAGTATATGAGTTTTGTAAAACAAAAACAAGAACAAAATCCTTGTCATTTGAATAGATCTATTTCTAGTTCTTTTAGAAGAAGTGATCGGGGTTAGAAGTATGGTTATAACTCAAAACCAAATGATAAAAATTGTATAAGGTGTAATTTTTGTGAAAAAGATACCAATGGGGGTATTAACCCAGTCAAGAAACACCTTGTCAGTATTAAAAGGAATGTTGCTTCTTGTAAAAAGGTTCTTGAAGCTATTCGGGATGAGATTAGATAGTTTCTGAATTTAAAAGAACCAGAAAAAGTTGAAAATGAGCCTTGTTCTATGGAAATATCTTATCCAGATTTTTCTAGAAGTGGTGATCCGGGTTGGAAGTATGGTTATAACCTGAATCCGAATGATAAAAATCGTATTAAATGTAATTATTGTGGAAATGATATGAATGGGGGCATTTACCTGTTTAAAAAACACCTTACCGGTTAAGGGGGATGTTGCCTCATGGAAAAATGTTCTTGAGGCTACCAGGGAGGAGATTACTCATTATTTGAATTCAAGGATGCACAAAAAGATAGAAAATGGTAGAGTAGCCAAGATTTTGATGCAGATTCAGAAGAAACAGAAGAGGACTAATATTGAAGAGGGAGATGACTTTGATGATGATGGCCTTGAATTTGATGCATATGATGAGGCTTACTCAATTCCTTCTAATGATGACTGAAGACTCTTGGTGTTGAGTGTTGACTATTGTGTCCTAGACTGTATATTTTTTGAATTTCTGTATATTTTCTTTTTCTCATTTTTAGTTTCTACTTTCTAGTTTCTAGTTCTACTATCTAACTTTTCTGTGTACAGTCTACAATGTATCGGACAATCAGTGTATGCTTGTATGGTTTTACTGTTTTAGCATTGTATGAAAATATGGATTTTGGTCTTATGAATTATCAAAATTCTCTTCTTGACTTCTATCTTTTTTTTTTCAACTTGGGCAGCCTAGACATCGACGGCCACCGGGGTGCCGCCTAGCGCTTTTTAAAACAATGGGTTGACGTTGACAAGGTTAAATCCCCAAAGTTTGTGGTCCTAAAAGTACTCCTAGTTTGGTTATCTACCCATAGAAGCATATACCTGCTGGAGCGCAAGGTGTTTGGACAAATAATACATAAAAAGGGTTTGTGCACCCACCCTACTTAGCTTCGGCTATGGTGAAAAAGCCAAGGCCTTTGGCAAAGCAAAGTTGACAACATTGCTATTAAGTATCATTGTATAATTAATGAAATGATGGAGTTAGATCAGCGAGAGAGTCTTTGTTTAAACACATTATGAAGCTCAAATTTAGCTATTTTATGCTTGTTTAGTTGATAGTGATAATAGAAAACCACGGGATATTTTCATTGGTTCTCTTTATTTGGAGCCTTGATCTGGCCATCACTTCTTGTGACATTTGTCAGCTTTTTATTGTAACTTCACCACCAAACTACAACAACCTACTAATGTCATTTATCTCCTCTATTTTCTTTGTGTTTTATGTGAAAGCTGTTCACCATTCTTATATTTACCAGAGGAAACCTTTTGTGCAGAGAATGGTATTCCTGGCATTTTCCTGAGTTAGTGAAAATTGTCAATGACAACTATCTTTATGCAAGAGTTGCAAAATATGTGAGGGACAAGTCGAACTTAACAGAGGAGGCCATTCCTGAGTTAACTGAGATACTTGGTGATGAAGACAAGCCTAAGGAGATTATTGAAGCAGCTAGAGCTTCCATGGGTACTTAATATCTTTCATGCAAGGTATCTCTTTTGTTTTTGTACTTTGTTTTTCCTCATCTCCTGCTTGGCTTTGACAGGGCAGGATTTGTCCCCTATAGACTTGATCAATGTCGAGCAATTCGCCCAGAGAGTTTTGGAACTGTCTGAATATAGGAAGCAGCTCCATGGTTACCTTGTCACAAAAATGCAAGATATTGCACCAAACTTGGCATCTTTGATTGGTGAAATGGTTGGTGCCCGGTTGATTTCCCATGCTGGAAGTCTTACCAATCTTGCTAAGTGCCCTTCTTCTACACTTCAAATTCTTGGGGCAGAAAAGGCCCTTTTCAGGTACTTTTTTCTTATCAATACCATTATCCACTGGTTTCTCGTGTCTTTTTAGAATCATATCACTCATATTTTTGCTTCTTTAAAAAGGATGATGAGTGTTTACGAATTATTTACTGTTTACTGATTACTACAGGTTTTGATGCAACTTTTAGTGAGTCCTGATTAAAGAATTCTCTCAGAGTTGAATTATTTTCTTCTTTATTTTCACAAAAAATCGAAGATTTTGGAGTCAAAGAAAACAAGGAAGTGGTTTCTTCTTTGTCAAAAGTGTATAGAGTCACTATTGTATATCTGCAATTGTTTAATTCAGAAATTTCAGTATCTTCTTTGTTGTTCTATTCCTCTAAACATCAGAAAGATTGCAATTTATACTTGCGAGAGGAAAAACCACAATTTAGGAAATTAGGAAATGAGCGAACTTGTTTTCACTTGGTGATGTGCTTATCACCAATAGTTAAGGCAGGTTGTTTTCCCACATTAACTCAAAAGTAACATTCTTTCCAGCATATTTTGTCGGGCATGCCCGAGCGCACTTGTTGGGGGGGGAGGGGGGAGAGGGAGAGGGAAGGGAGGGGGGGGTGGGAGAGCAAGGGAGGGCTGCCGGACTGTGAGCACTCTTTTCTCTTCGAAATACATCCATCATTTCTTCTGAAAGCATTGTTCACCTCACTTTTAATAGTCATTTCACAAAATATTACAGTTCTGTTTTAGTGCTATCTTCTTATTTATAGAGAATCTCTGTTGTTTCATTTTTTTTGCGATGGTTCTTTTTGTGGATGCATTTGATGGCCTCTATGTTTTGTCATCTTGTTTGTGGAATGCATTTGCTGTCCATGTGTTAATCGGCTCTTGCACATCTTTAGGGCTTTGAAAACTCGAGGCAACACTCCAAAATATGGTCTTATCTTCCATTCTTCTTTTATCGGGCGTGCATCCACTCGTAATAAAGGACGTTTAGCCCGTTACCTTGCTAATAAGTGTTCCATTGCATCTCGAATTGACTGTTTCTCAGGTGAAGTTTGGGTTGCTTCTGTCTAAGGTTTCTGCTATTATTCTTTCCATTTGTTTGTGTCGCTCGTTAACCTCTCACTATGCAATTCCTATACCTGCTGTCCGCAGAAATGGACACTCGTACCTCAGTTTTTGGGGAAAAGCTTCGGGAACAGGTTGAGGAGAGATTGGAGTTTTATGATAAGGGTGTCGCGCCTCGCAAGAATGTTGATGTGATGAAAGAGGCTCTCAATGGTACAAAGAGTGAAACTAATGAAGGTAACTGTTTATTGTGGTTCTCTCTTCAGTTTTTATTTTCTTTCAGTATGCAATTGGAAAGGTGCATTGGTTTTACTTGTGCCATCTTAGAACATTCACATCATTACTGATTGTTGAACATTTGTAGTCCTTGCCCAATTAAGCACTTGCGTTTGAAGTTGGGCTGGTTCTTAAATGTCATCATGTTTTTGCTTGTGTAACTTTACCAGAAAACTATGATTTCTGGTCTTAACTGCAGTCTTAATAGGTGCTTGTTGGTCACTAAGCATAATGTCGTCTAGAAGCTGCTATAGGAATAGACCTGCATGGTTCGTTCTCCTCCATTTGCGAGTGTTGGAAACATTTGCTATTTTATAGTCAACAACTTTATTTCATTGATTGTCATTCCTTCACTTCATTTCATGTATTGGAAGTACGATCATGCTACAGAAATCTGGCTAGGGGGATGGTCCTCAAGAAATGCTGTTCTATTCTTTTTGAAATAGGAATGATCATTGCCTGAGTATTACATCTGGTTCATAACTGGTCAGTTCGTTCAATCACTTACTAGTAGTGGAGAGCTCAAAATTTTCAATATATTCGAGTTTCAGCAGATGTTTCATCTTGTACATATGCCTGGAGATTCTCATTCAAAATCTGGCTCTATTCAGATGAAAAACTTGTGGTACTGATGTTGCAACTGTTTCTCATGTACTCAAATCAATAAGGCAGGAGTATTAACTGCTTCTTTTGCTGGAAGACTGGCGAGACTATTATCTGAATTTTTTGTTTTAAATCAATATTTCATGCTGATGCTGTAAATATATATGGCTACTATCATGACGTGCAGGTGGGGAGAAGGATTTGGCAAATGGTGAAGTCCATGATGTCTCAGAAAAGAAAAGTAAGAAAAAGAAAAACAAAGACATGAATGTGGAGTTGACTGTGCCTGTTGAGGATAAGGAAATGGATGTGGATGGGAAAGGAGATGACAAGAAGAAGAAGAAGAAGGAGAAGCGTAGAAGGGGGGAGGAAGAGGAGGCTGCAGGAGCTCTAGATAACGAGAATGGGGTAAATCTCGAACAGAATGGGACTCAGAAAAGGAAGAAGGAGAAGAAGATAGAAGCTGACAATGGCCTTGGAGCAGCTGTTAGTGAGAAGAAACAGAAGAAAAAGAAGAAAAAGAGTGAGGATGATGAGTGACATTAAAAATGTATTTATTGAATCACTACATCTACAGTTTTGTTAAGCTCCTCTTATCTTTCAGGACCATCTATTTATGCATCTTTTACAGGTTTCTTGCTTCAACTACTTGCAATTTTCTGACTTTGGCTGTTATAATTTGATCTCATATTTTCCTCTTGGATTGGAGATCTTGGGTTTCTTAATGGCTAAAAAGAAAATTACTCGCGAGTGTTTAGACTTCTGAGTTGCATACTGGTTAGCAAATATAGTTTTGATACTGGATTGCTGTCAAAAGGATTTTTTTCCCCTCTTTGTTCGTGTGGAAGTTAGTTTCTCTTTGGCACTCTGCTTTTACTTTGTCATTTTTCAGTTGTTATCATTTAACATTGTGTAGCAACAATTTTTATAATTTTATGAAATGGTGGCTTATTCTATGCCCCTGTGTGTGTGTGTGTGTGAGAGAGAGAGAGAGAGAGAGAGAGAGAGAGAGGAGGAGTA